TCATCCTGCTGTGAAATTTCCTCTATCATAGACTGCAGCTGCCTTTTACATATTGCATTCCATTTTACGGTACAATAACCCCAAGAAAAAACAAATTGGGAAGGATTTTAACAATGTCTTTTAAACTTAAGCAAATGTCATTAGGTAAAGAATGTAGTTTATTTGCTGCTTTCTAATTCCTCACAAGTCTAGGAAAGGACAATCTGCTATTTGTCCCACCTAATGCTTCCCCTTCCTTTCTCTCCTCCTTTTTCACTTAAAACCACACCTTTGGGAATCCTTACTCCATATACTAATGAACAAGTTTCAGGTATTGCTCTTTAACTGAGCTGTAAGCCCATGTTGGGGAAGCTCTAAGTACTTGGCCTTACTCAGGCATCAAAAGAAATCTAACTATGGTTTCTCAAAAGGTAAAACAGAACTGCCTTGTGACCCAGCAATTCCACTTCTAGGTACATATGCTAAAGAATTCAGAGCAGGGTCTTGAACAGATACTGGTACATCAATGATCATTGCAGCATTAGTCACAATAGCCAAAAGCTGGAAACAACCTGAGTGTCCACCAACAAATGAATGAATAAACAAATATAGACTATACATGCAATGGCATATAATTCAGCCATGAAAAGGAATGAAGTACAGCTATGTGTCACTTAATTACAGGGATACATTCTGCAAAATGCATCGTTAAGTGACTTTGTTATTATGGTAATAACAAAGAGTGTAATTAAACCTCAATGGTATAGCTAATGGGCCCACTGTCGTTTGTGGTTGTTAAGCACCTCATGACTATACTATGTATGCATTAGTTGTACCAAGGTGAAACATGTACAATACAGCTTGGAAGGACCTTGAAAACATTATGTTCAGTGAAAGAGGCCAGACACAGAAGGAAAAATAATGTGTGATTCCACTTATATTAGGTACCTGGAATAGACAAATGCATAGAGACAGAAAGTAAAATAGAGGTTACTGCATGCTGTGGGGAAGGAGTATAGGAAAATGATAGTTGAATGGATGCAGTTTATTATGGGGATCACAAAGAAAAGTTCTAGGTATAGGTCACTCTTAGGGCTATATACTCTGTGAATGTATTTAAAGTCACTGGTTTACCAGTGCTTATTATGATATTATGCTATGTCTGTTTTATCACAATTACTTGCGGAGCGAAAAAGTCCGTTCTGGGCTAAGCTGTGTCGGGGGAGGCTTGCAGAGCGTCTGAGATTGAAGGAAAGTCACTACCCAGAGACTGGGACGGTGGCAATCCCATCCAAGTGTGGTCAGACGCTAGAGAAGGGATGTGGAACTTAAAGGTGTCAGTAATATCCCAGGAAGAGACAGTTATGCACATGGATAAAACAGCCACCAAGCCTCCACAGCACACAGAGAGGTCACCTTGAGCCTTCCCCCACCCCGCACAGCCTGGCAACCACAGGAGGAGAGCCGGAAAACAATCTCTCAGGGCGTCTATGGAAACTTTTTCCTTTTGCTAATTTTTCAAGCGTCGCAAGAATTAATTTTGGAACAAGAAAGCTGCAAAAGGTGCTTTTATTCTCTTAGCCTAATGATATGTAAATGGAGCACATGTAAGAAAACTTTAAAAAGGAGTCTGTAGGGCCAGCAAGGCATGGAGCAGTTTCTTTATGATCCAAGCAGACGGGTAAAGGAGGATTCCTGGAGCCCTCAGAGGCTTTTTCAGGCTTTTAATGATCTTTCTACACCATTTGTAGTGAGGCAACCAGGTACACGGCAGGCAGGGGGATGGAGGGAGGCGCAAGAGTCTGGCAGGCCTCCTAGCCCTGGGCAAATTTTTACTCTCTCTGGTGTTCTCTTGTGATCTCTTCATGGATCTTGTAAGGGGCAGGAACTGGACGCAGTGCAGGTTTTCTGATCCCATGCAGACCGGGTAAAGGAGGAGTCAGAGTCCTCAGTAGTTTTGCAGGTTTTTTATTTGGGGTTCACCAGGCATATGGCAGGCAGGGGTGCAAGTCTTCACTCTATCTGAGCTCTCTGGAGTTCGTTCTGCTGCTTCTCGGCTTCTCTTTCGGCTTCGGCTTCTTCGGCTTCGGCTTCGGCTTCGGCTTCGGCTTCGGCTTCGGCTTCGGCTTCGGCTTCGGCTTCTACTTCTACTGCTGTTTCTGCTGCTGCTGCTGGCGTCCCCGTGATGCCGCCCTTAAAAGCACAGCCTTAGCTCAGCTGAATCCCATCTACCTATGCCCACACCCTACTCCAGGTGCCCGCCATCAGGCATGCATTCAGGACAAGGATCCATCATCTATCCTGATGGAGGAAGGGCAGAAAAGCCTGACATTTTCTTTACCCTACAGATCTCTACTGCACTCTGTGGCTCTGTCCTCTGTTGGTGCCCTTATAAGCTCGGTGTCTTAGCTCAGGCGTGCCCGGTACGCACACACACCATACTCCAGGCGCCCGCCATCAGGCATGCATGTAAGACCACAGGTGTTGATCACAGATGCTAATGGCAGGAGGGCAGGGGAAAAACCCCTGGTAACATCCATTTACCCATCAGTGTCACATGTCTGAAATAACTGAGGCCATTTAGAAGGTGCTTTCTTTTACAGACACGTTGATGTGTATATGTGTGTATACATATATATGTATAAAATGTATATAGGTACTATGGTGGACTTTCTTGTCATTATTCTTAAATCTAAAATGAATCTTTTTTTTTAAATAATAAATTTTATTTTTATATTCCCCATACAATTGCAACCCCCTCATTCTGACCCCAATCCCTCCCCTCCCGCCACCCACCCCCCCAAAAGTGTCTCTGGTTCATAGTTTTTTGTTGATTTTGATTATCACTTTCTTATAGTTATTCATTTTCCTGGTCCCTTATTTAAGTTTTCTAGATTCCTGCTATGAGTGAGACCATCCGGTATTTTTCTTTTTCTTTCTGGCTTATTTCGCTGAGCATGATCCCTTCCAGCGCCATCCATATTGCTGCAAATTGCATGTGTTTATCTTTTTTGATTGCTGAGTAATATTCCATGGTGTCTATGTACCACATCTTCTTGATCCAGTCATCTATTTTTGGGCATTTGGGTTGTTTCCAAAGCTTAGCTATTGTAAATAGTGCTGCTATAAACGTAGTGATGCCGGCGTGTGTAACAACTGCTGCCGCTTTACCAGGAGTTCTTGTCTCGCGAAACCGTAGAAAGGAATTCACAGACTTTTGGAGTAAGTAAGCAGAGAGAGACAAATCTTGTCTTTGAAAGAAAAGTTTATTTAGGAAGAAAAGAGACAAAGAAGAAAGACTCCCAGGTATAAAGTACCTGGGAGGGGCCAAGATGAGCCGGTATGGGATATTATGTTGGCAATATATACTTTCTCTCCCTCATTATGTTTAAATTTTACTCTTTCTCTCCCTGATTGGTTAACTCCCAGAGGGTACTAAGCAAGGAATTTCACATTCCTTAACAGTATTTCCTTTCCCCATCTGTTATGCTTATCGCTTTACCTTTATGGTCTAGCCCTCCCGGTGAACATCTTCACACTTCATCTTATCATCTGAAGAAAACCAGGACCATCCTTAACAAGATTACCTGTGGTGCTAGGATGTTTGTTTTCCCCTAGTGTTTAACAATGGTGTTTGTTTTTCCCAGTGGAATTGGTTGTATTTCCTTGGTTATCCTTATCTCTGAAGACTTCCTGATTTCTTCAGAGGTCCCCTCCTGCACTATCCCTAAAACTGCCTAATAACCCTAGCTTGCCCTGTCTCAATAGGGGTGCAGGTGCTCTTTGGAATTGATGTTTCTGTGTCCTTTGGGTAAATACCCAGGAGTGGAATTGCTGGATCATATGGAAGCTCTATGTTTAGTAGGTCCAGAAATCTCCACACAGCTCTCCATAGTGGTTGGACCAGTTTGCACTCCCACCAACAGTGCAGGAGAGTTCCTTTTTCCCCACATCCTCGCCAACATTTGTTGTTGCATCAGTTCCACCAGTACACTGCTGCAGGAGACATGTTCCTTTGTTGCTTTTTTGTTGCTAGTTTTTTTTAACTTGTGCCATTCTCACTGGTGTAAGATGGTATCTCATGGTAGTTTTGATTTGCATTTCCCTGATTACAAGTGATGTTAAACATCTAAAATGAATCTTTTTTAAAAAAAATAGACTTTGCAGCCCCAAAGCATAGTTATCTTTACCCAGCCATAGGATGCTCTACTTATAAAGCTACTTATAATTGTTTAATTGTTTTAAAGTTCGGTTTCCTGACAATAAGGTTTTACACTGGTTGTTCTCCTTCTCAGCTACTCAGTAACAAATTAGAAAACCATGCAAAATTTCAGAGAGAACCAGCAAAGTCAAAACCTCACCAAAAGGCGCAAAGCAGGCTTTCGCTTTATTAGTTGGGCGCATAGGGAAAAAGTTGCTAATGAGGTTTTGATGATGGGCCCCCACCCTTACTCCAAGGAAAAGCTGTAAAGGGTTAATCAGGCAACTACTAAAGGCAGTTACCTCTCATTACCATTGTTATTGAGCAGAACCTGGCGGTTAAGCCCCGACGAGGCAGTCCACCAGGAGGCCACATCCTGTTGAATAATTCAGGCTGGGGCAGGGGCCGGCCCTCACAGTGCAGACGTGGGAGGCAAAGCCTCGCTCGGGAGTATCCATTTTCGGTATCTGCAGCCGGCTGCCCATTTTAAAACTCCCCAAGTTACAGACAAGGTCATGAAAAACCCCACTTTACCAGGTGGCTAAATACCCCGCGCCGCGTTAGGCAAATGCTTCACCTGCCTGGCCAATTAGCTTCCTCTCCAGAAAGACTCGTTCAACAGGTTTCCTCTTTCTATTCCTCGGCCTCCTGGGTTGGGGAAAGAGGCTGTCACTTCGCTTCGACCCTCCCCTTCCCTCCTGCCTCCTCCCTCCCGGCCGTGCCACGCTCACCCGGACCAATCGCGCGGTCTCGAGCGCGTCCAGGTTGGCCGCCCCGGCGCTCGCGGGGCCTGGATGAGGCGCGCCGCCCTGGGCGCAGCGGAGGGCGCAGTGGGGCTCGCTGGGCCTGCGTCCCGGACCGCGAGAACCGCACGGACCAGGAGGAGACTGCGGGCCCGCGGAGGTCTGGAGGTGCCCTGATGACTGAACTACAGCAAGATGTGGAGGACCCCAAGCCTGCCAAAGCGCTGGGGAAGAGAGAGAGCAAAGTTGGCTCAGCCCAGTAAGTGCTCTCAGCTGCGACCTCTCCGTGGCGAGAGGAAGCGCGCGGCCCCAACTTCTCTGCCGGGATGAGCGAGGAGCGGAACGGGTCTCTGAAACTTTGTCTGCCACCAGGCTTGAGGCTTGAGGGCTTTTTGAGGCGCCCAGTCGCTTTTTGCTGTCAGATACTTTAGTGGAGACAGGGCACCACGGGAACATTTCAGGAATGTGCTGGTAGCTGGCAGGCCAGCGGGGAGGTGGATTATTATTTCAGCCGAAACCTCTGCTGGTGTCTCATAATTCCCAAGGGAAGTCTGGGGAAACCTTTCTGACCTCGAAGCCAAATCAAGAAACAGCGTTGATCTTTATTTGTCCTACTTCCTAATGACGTGCGGGTAGATGCAGTTTTCTCGGAGATGCCATCTGGGTAGGCGGTGATGTGTGTGTGTCAGTTGATTCAGAGCTTGAGGGTTTTTTCCCCCCTTCATTGTTTTCCTCCCAGAGAAGGGAAAAGTGGTGGACAACATGTAATACTCTCTTTTCCCTGTCTTTAGCTGGTACTTTCCACAAACTTTTTAACCGCCCTGTTTTTGGAGCTGTGGGTGAGGGCGAACACAACGACTATATAATAAAACACTTCAAATAGTGGCTTATTTCTGTTCTCTTCAGTCTTGAGTCACAGTGCATACTCGGATTTGCATTGTTTGGCATATAAACTCTTCTGGATTAAGAAACTGAAAACTCAAATATTTTGATGACAAGGATTAGCTTTCTGTAATGAAACTTTCTTTTTATGTCTATTACTTTGTTTTTCTTAATCCAAAAGTGTTGATTATTTACATGATTGTATTCCCAAACGTTCTTCTTTTAAAAATGAAAAGAATCATTATTTGCTGCTTTGTTGTATTACTGTAACATGATGGGAAGATAAATAAATCCAATCACTGTTATATTTTTATGGTACCAAACTTTTGGTGGCACCCAGAATTCTTGGTACTAGCATAAAAAGGTGATAAATTCTTAGCTGTGAAGATTCATTTTCCATCTTTGACTTATTTCAGCATAGACTGTTCCACGTGGGCTGTTGTGTTTGTGCGTATCTGTTGGAGTTTGGGCTCAAGTGTGGAAGAATAGCTTTATTACTTGCTTTGATTTCTTGTTTCAAAGGCTTGTTTCTCGTCAAGTCTCTGTTTTGAACTTGGTAACTCAGGTCGTCACTAAGTTCAGAGGTGTTCAAGTCCAGGTGCCTCAATGGATATTTTCTTCCAAGAGTGTTAAACTGGCCTGTCCGCTCCCAGTTCCCTGTCCCCATAACTACAGCCACATGCGCCTCCTCACCTTAGACCCTAACTTCCGAAGTGTTAACAGCTGGTATTTATTGAAAACGCTTGCTAGGAGACTGACTGGTAATGAACACTTTACGTGCATTTTCATACAAAATGAAGTAGAGGCTGTCATCTCCATTTTACAGGTAAGAACTTTGAAGCTATAAGAAGTTAAGCATAAAGAAAGCAGCTTAAATTCAAGTCCCGACCGCTTAATTCTAGCGCCTAAACTTGAATACTTTCTCTGTGCCCCACTACTCCAGAATCTATACTGGCTCCCATGACCTACTCAAAAAACAAGCTCTTCTGCCAAGTGTGTACCCTTAGTGAGGTACACACACACAAATCATTTCAACCTGACGTCCTAATTCTAGCAAGCATGCACATCTTTTAGCCGAAGTATTTTATCAGAGGTCTTATACTTAAGAGATGATCATACAGACAATAGGTGTGCAAAAGTAGCACTGAATGAAGTTCCCTCCATTTTTCCTTTCTCCTCATTTTCATTCCTTTGTTCAAGCAGTTTTCTCTCTTCTTTCTCTCGGTATCTTTCTATACGTCAACTCAAGTTTTCCTTCCGTTAAAACCTTCCCTTATTGCTGGTCATACTCAATTTCCTATCAGTGCTCACCTTGCATAAATCTTCTATGGTCAGCACCATAGAATTTAGCTGCTGCTATTACTATTAATTAACAATTAACATTTATTGACTGTTTATTATGATCAAAGTACTGTTTTCAGCTTTTAATGTATACTCACTCACTCAGTGTATATTAGTTAACTTTTCCCTAAATAGATTACAAACTCCAACCAGGCTTTATCTACCAAATTTCTCAGAGGGCCCAACAGATAATCACTTTCAGTAACCACATATTGGTGATCTGTATTGGCTGCACCCAACCCCTCAAATGAAGGTTTATCCTATGCTTAGCACTGATACTCAGTTTGAACTAGTTCAGGAAATTCTACCCTTTTAAAATTTCTTTTTTTTTTTAAACTATTTTTTTTTTAAATAGAGGCATGTTTTATTTATTTATTTGTTTGTTTGTTTGTTTATACATGCACTGGGTACAGTCAGAAGCGCAGGAGGGTGAGAGAATTCACCAGAGCCAGAGCAGGGAGCAGAGCAGGCAGAAGGACCGAAGTACACTGCTGAGGGGAGCAGCGGGCGGCAGGAGAGGTCTGCGCGCCATGCGGGACCCTCCTCCGGTGGCCGGGGAGCAGCCGGGAATCGAACCGGCGCGGCAGAGGCCGCGGGCAGCTTCGCAACCCAGCGCTCAACCGCTGCGCCACCGGGGAAGCCCTTAAAATTTCTTATCCAAATTTTCCACCAGTAGCAGTTAGAATTTTTAGGTACATTTGCTTGCCCCACAATTATAGCTTATTCATTCCCACCCTGCCACCTTTCCTCTCTGGTTGCCTGAGTTTTGTAATCAGCTGTTAAAGTTTAGTCTTGATTTGTTTTAACTGACTCTTTGTTATGTGCCTCTATGTTCCACATATAAGTGAGACCATCTAATATGTCTTTCTCCATTTGATGTATTTAACTTAGCATAATGTTCTCCAGGTCTATCCATGTTGTGGCAAATGGCAGGAGGTTGTCCTTTTTATAGCTGAGTAGTTGTCCACTGTGTGCATGTGTGTGTGTGTGTGTGTAGATAGATAGATATAGTTCTAGTTACAAAAACTTAGTTATGGAGAAACAACCTAAGTACCCAAGGACAAGAGGTGTAGATCAACAAATAGTGGTCTGTGTACACAATGGAATACTCAACTTCACAGATTTTCAACAGGGTGTAAGGTGCAAGTCCTGGAGATAGATTCCTCCACAGCCACTTTCTCCTTAAAGAAAGAGTATTTTTATCCAAACTTAAGTTTAATTATCCTTCAAAAAGAGGCCAAAAAAACCCCAACTCACTTACACTGTACTCCTTAAGGTAAACTAATTTACCTACTCTCATTTGTGTCAGAGATTCCCACATCCATAATCCGACATGATGTTCCAAGACAGATTTTTAGTTTTTTAAGGATTTATTTTTTTTTATTTATACAAGAGCAGGGGTACAGGCCAGATGTGCAGGAGGGTGAGAGGATTCACCAGAGAGAGTGGGGAAGAGAACTGGCAGATTGACTGAAATACACTGCTGAGGGGAGCAGTGGGCGAGACAGGAGAGGTCTACTCGCCATGTGGGTTGCTCCAAGGCCGGCGGAGATCAAACCGGCACTGGAGAGGCTGCAGATAGCTTCACAGGTCTGCGCTCAACCGCCTGCACCACGAGGGAGGCCCAGATTTTTTTTAAACAAGGTTATTGAGATACTATTTTACATATGAAATTTACCCATTTCGTGTGTACAATTTAATGACTCTTAGTAACTGCACCAACTTGTGCATCATCACCCAATCTAATTTTAGATCATCCCCCCAATAAGATCTCTTGACCCTATTTATACTCAGTCTCCATTCCCACCCCCTGTCCCCTATATACCAGCCCCAGCTAGTCACTAATTACTTTCCATCCCTATAATTTGCTTTTTTGTGTGTGTGTGTGGGACCCTCGCTGGTGGCCGGGGATCGAACTGGCGCTGCAGAGGCTGCAGGCAGCCTCGCAACCCAGCACTCAACCGCTGCGCCACCGGGGAGGCCCCCTATAATTTGCTTTTTCTGGGCATTTCATATAAATGGAGTCATATGCTATGAGGTCTGTTGTATCTGGTTTCTTTCACTAACATCATATTTTAGAGTTTCATCTGTGAGGTACTTTATGTCAGTAGTGTATTGCTTTTTGTACTATTAAATTTCTATATTCCATATACCACACTTTGTCTTACTCTTTACCTTCTCATAAACATTTAGGTTGTTGCCACTTGTTGGTCATTATGAATAATGCTGCTATGAATATCTGTGTGCATATCTTTATGTGAAATTATAATTTAATTTCTTTGGACTTAAGAGAAAGGGCTTTCACATAACAGGGAAGCGAAATTGTAGGCACTTTATAACAAATATCTGTTGAATATTGACTAAGTGAAATTTATAGTTTGGATTTTCAAATCCCCTTCCCCCAAACTACATTTTAAAGAAAACTCAGGCTATCTTTCCTTGGCACTTTTTGGTTTGGATTTTTCTTTTTCTTTTTTTTTTTACAAGCTCTTAAAATTTTGCATGTTAACATTTAGTACTTTTTTATGATAATATAAAGAAGAGATTTTTAAATTGTACTGTTTCTTATGTAGGCTGGAAGTGCAATGAAATACCTGTATGACGTTAGAAAATTAAAATAGTGGGCCTCCCCTAGTGGCGCAGGCGGTTGAGCGCCATGCTGTGAGGCTGTCCGCAGCCTCTGCAGTGCCAGTTTGATCCCCGCCGGCCGGCCGGCGAGGGTCCCACATGGTGTGGCAGACCCCTCCCCTCACACCTGCTGCTCCCCTCAGCAGTGTGTTTCGTCAGTCTGCCTGTTCTGTTCCCCGCTTTGGCTCTGGTGAATTCTCTCACCCTCCCATGCATCTGGCCTGTACCCTGGTTCTTGAATAAATAAATCTTTAAAAAAGAAAATTAAAATAGTATTGAATATGGACAAAATAAAAAGTGAGGTCCTCCTCACCTTTCAGTTCCTTGTTCACTTAACAAGTTTTTGGGTTTATTCTTATGTTGTTGTCATTTAAGGCCAGAATCAAGTTTGTTGTTGATTTGTTTTGC